AGTGGATGTGTCTGAGATATTTTTAACGCTGCAAAAAATAAAACTAAATGACACATTTGTACGATTGGATGATGAATTTGGTGTTTGCGAGTCTACATCAACTAGAATTTTTACGCGTACTGTTCCAATATTGGCACATTTTTTGTCAAAATTTATATTTTGGCCAAGTAAAGATTCTATCATGTCTAACTTGCCCATAGCATTCTGAACAAATTACAGTAATGTGTTCTCAATTATTGATTGCTTCGAAATAGAAATACAAAAGCCATCGGATGCTGTGCAGCAAAGTACAACATGGTCTGATTACAAGAAATGTAACACGATTAAATATTTAATATCATCAACGCCTGATGGATTTATAAACTTCGTATCCGAAGGATTTGGTGGAAGAACATCAGATACAGTTATTGTCGAAGAAAGCAAATATTTAGAAGAAATTCCTTTTAACTGTGATGTAATGGCTGATAGAGGATTCAAACACATTGAACCACTATTAAAAACAAAAAGCTGTAATCTTATTAGACCACCTAGTGTTTCGACAAAAGAAAAACCTTCAAAAACTGAAGTCCTCGAAACAAAGCGAATAGCTAGCCTTCGAATTCACATAGAGAGGGTAATACGAAGGATCAGAGAATTTGAATTTCTAAAGCCGCATGCAACAGTGAATTTGAAAAACATTCGACACATCGATCATTGTATTATTATTGCATGTGCTCTTATAAACTTGCAGATGCCAATTATTAATCAGTGTATGTAAATAAATATTTTATGCTTCATTTAAAATAAATAGTACTAATTTTTATAAACTCTTTATTTATTCATCACAAAAATATATATAAATTTCTAATATAAAACAAGTAGATAGTTTCTTTAAAATAAACATTGTAATAGAACAGTGCTCGGAATTAGTTGCACATTTCGTGCCGATTTTGGAGGCGATGCCTACTGTCTCCCCACTACCACTCGAGCCTCGGCGGCCGAGCCGTGACGCTGTGCCTCAGGAGCGTCGCGATACTTTCCAGCATGCTGGGAGTATACCTTCCGACAAATATGATTAAAATATTTTTCTTTTTACGTGATTTTTATTTGAACAAATTTTTTTTATTATTAGCATATTATGTATATATTCTATAATAATATAATTTACAATTATTACAGTATGATAATTATAATATTGAACAACAGTTTTCCACATCACCTCTGAGGTACTATTGTTGACGCGTTTTTTTTTAAGTGGTTTCCCCAGTAGGCCTATTCCACTAAGAAAATAACGAAAAAGCTGATTAAATCTATAGCTCGAGGAGAGAGAAAGCAATATTCTTTAATATTAAATATTTATAAAAACGAACGAGGATGAAACGGGAATAATTATTTTTCTTGAAATTTTAAATATTTGACCTTCTGGGTCGTTTGCACGATTGTACTAGTGACGATACATCCACAGAGAGTTTAGAAGTAGTAGTTCGCATTATCGAGGATAACGATGCATCATTCAAAAAGAATAGCTTTTTGTTTTTGTGATTTTCGAAGAGAGATAGAAATATAATAAATAAATAATTTTATTATAAATAGTTACAGTAAAGGTAAATCTTATTGAAAGGTTGCTCATATATCTTTGCTTATTATCCATTTTTCAAATAAAATCAGTAGCAGAATTATAATGCTATAATAGCAAAGATGACACACAGTTTTATAACTACATTATTACAGTTTACTTTATTACAATAACCATTACTATCTTTAGTTTAGTACTATCATACATAGCGTATCATTAAATATAGCTTTATCATTATCACGCAAATAGTATTTTTTGTAATCTATCGTTATAATATGAATTTTTAATGCTCATTTCCATAATGTAGATTGTAGATTAACTTTAATCTCTGTTGAACTTATTCTTCGTCTTTTTATAGTTCTAAAAATTATAAAAAGATGAAGAGTAAGTTCAATTAAAGTTAGTCTACTTGGAAATGGGCATAAACCTCGCGGTTTTGTTATATAGACGCCTATTCCTACCGCGCGTCAATATGCATTTGTTTTATCCTCCGCTATTTTTCAACGGTTTTCTAACATGCGTGCACAGTAGAAGTTTTATGTACGTTAGTAGTGGTTTCGTACGAGATTATTGTACGAAGTATTCCCATCCGGGGAAGCACCTAAGGCTGGATATTGTGGATCGATTATTAGACCACTACTTGACAACTCCGTACACCATTTTCGTTTCAGTTCATTTACAACTTTTTTTTCCAGTCTCCTTCCTCGTTCCATTTCTGCAGAATCATGACACCTGGAAGCACCTGTCACTTTTTGCACTAAACTGCCATTTTCAGTTTTGCAATGTGCAATCTCAAAAATAGAAGATGCTGTTATTCTTCCATACCTCATTTCATCCCATAATTTATTTTGGAACTGGTCATGTGTACGTAATTCTATTTCTGTATATACTGATACAGACATAATTTTCATTGCGTACTCAAGAAAGGTGTCTGCATCCATACTTGTATCATTTGCTTTTGTGTAAGAAATGAGAAGTTGATGCATTGACATTTTCCGGTGTTCACTAATTTCAAGGTAATGTCTCGATAATGAACTATCAAATCTATTGACTTTTATCGCAGACATAACTGAATCCAGAAACTTGCTGTTATCTGGAAGTTCGTTGATTGTGAGCGGAGGATGACCAATCTCATTCGCTTTTACACTTCGAACATTTAACGCCACTTGAGACAAGCGAGGTTTCTTCCAGTAACATTCAACCGCAGTTGATTCAGGTTCTTCACTTCTTCTGTGCATCTACATTATAAAGGCGATAATATGTTTACAACCTCCTGCAAATTAAATACATAATTAATAAAAATCAACATAATGTTTAAATAGAAAAAAATGCAATTACTTCAAGTTTTGTCGTAACTTATTTTACTTATAAATAATATATATTTAATTATTTATAATATATTTAGGTATTTAATTATTTACCTTCAGAAGCTGCACAATCGTGACATTTAGCTTCTTCGATGTCTTCAATCTCTTCATTAATGGTCATTGTAACGGAGTACGGTTTCTGCCTGACACTGTGCTCTGGACAAACTCTTCCATGTATAATGCAGTATTTTCCTTCTCTGCATAATTCAACGTATCCAACAGCCGAATCTCCATAGTTTTCACGTTTTGATCTGCATTTATGTAATTTTTAATATTTATATTATATCTGACGTTATCATAACTATACCTATATTATCAAAACATATTAGTATATTGGATTTGGGTGACATTTTGAGGTTATGTCACTCTGATGCACTTTATACATTTTGATGTAATTATATTTCAAAAATTTATAAAACAAGTTGAATTAAATATATTATCTAGTTTAAATTTAATTAAATTCTTTAAAATATAAAGAAAATGAATTACCTGTCAGTCTTGACTCCCCTACTTTCCGCAACATTAAAGCACTCGTTATTTTTAAAAAATTCAGTTACCATGAATATATTTACTGTCGGTAAATTATCCGACTGTGCACGCACAAAAACTTTGTTTCCCGACATGCTTAAAAATATAATTTTAGCCTCAACAAATGTAATATTTGCAATATTTACAATTTTCTATCTACCCGGGAAATAACGTTCGAATTCTCATTTGAACCGAAAGTGATTATTTACGTCACGACCGCCACGACCAATCACAAACGTTTCTAAAAATCGCATTTTTTTCAAATTTCATTAATTTTTTTTAGCAACTTCCCATTGTCAAAAAATAAAAAAAAAATTTTTTCGAATCTAGGAGGTTCTGTAGGACGTGTACATAATTTTTTTAGATTTTTTTATTTTTTATGCATGTAACCTATTGTATTATCCTGAAAAGATTCTAGTATTTGTTTCATTTCATTGTGTTAGTTAAATTAACGTATTAAGTAGGAGCAATGGCAACTTATAAGAATGAATAAAAATAACTCTAATTAGGTAGAATTAAATACTATGAATTTAACAGTGTATGAGGTATAGGTTTCTTAATTATTACGCAAGAAAATGTAAAACAAATAGTTTCGGTAAAGTTTATTGTTAAGGATAAGGCCCGAATCAGGAACAGATCAGGCCAACCTCACTTAGTACGTGATCGGATTCAGCTGAGGATATGTACAATCGTGGCCTCATTGGACTTTTTATATTTACATTAAGGCATTCCCCAGAGTGTCCTTATCAAAACCTGACCAAAATAACCTCGATATCTAGTAATAAGGAAAAAGTTCATTCCGTCCCGTACATAACCTAATCGGGCCAACCATACCAGGGTAGACCCGAAGAAAACCTTATCAGGACTTCATGGTACAGCGGGTATACTTCTACTCGGGGAGCTCATCTGCGGACACGCATCGTGTTATTCTAAATTATGGCTCCACGCCTCCCAATAAACGGAAAGGTCGATACAGCCAGATCACGTCTTTAATGTAAATCGTAAAAATATGAAAAACGGACAATTATTAGGACAATACAATGCACAGTCGAAGTCGGCAACACTTTCAAAAATATACGGTAGAAAGCATCCGACCGAAACGCGTCCGCCGCGACCGAGTGGTTCTTTAGAATTTGGTCCAATGACGATCGAATTGTTGTTTGCACAGTGCGGTGTGGTCATAGAGATAGTAATATTAGACATAGGGCCGTATTCATAGTCGAAACTTATTCTCAAGATCGTCTCAAGTACGGTCTTAAGATGCCCTCTAGATTCATAGACGTGAAATAAGTAAATGCTTAAGTAAAATCTGAAGGCAAGACTTGTCCAAGACGATCTTGTTTCGAAACGTCTTGAGCGGTCTTGGCATGATTCATAAACCGATCTTCTCCGAAATAAGAACAGACTTAAGACTATCTTATTAGTCATGAATTCATAGTCGTTATAAGACATCTTATATGACGTATTGTCAGCTAAATGAGACGATCTTCATCAAGTCATGTCAGAAGGTGACTTAAGTAAACTCTTTAATGTTAGAATAGATTACGGTAATGGATATAATAAATATTAATGAAATTGTGGACATTAATTTATCAAGCGAAGATGAAGAAATACAAATTCGTGTTCCAAAACGATATATTCGCGATGGAGAAAATCCCTTCGAATTTTATAATGAATGGGAATTCAAAAAAAGATTCCGTTTTACAAAGAATTCAATTATGTTTGGTGTTTTACCATTAATAGAAGAAGGCCTCTCAAAAGTTAATAAACGTGGTTTACCAATAGTACCAGTTTTTCAATTATTAATTTCTTTACGATTTTATGCAACAGCAAGTTTTCAGGTTAGTAATAAAATTGTATTACGTTTTAATTAAATTTACAAATATATAAATATTCGAAATCTTTTATATAAGATAAAAATATGTTAATATGTATAAATATAATATTCGTTTATATATTTTTATAGCTTGTCATGGGAGATGTAATTAAAGTATCTCAACCAACTATCTCCAGAATTATTTTTCGAGTGTCAACTCTGTTAGCCAGTTATATTAATGTATACATAAAGATGCCAGTATCAGTTGCAAAAATAATTGAAAATAAACGTTTATTTGAAGAGCTTGGTCATGTTGGTGGAGCTATAGGTTTACCTTCCATTGATGGAGCAATTGATTGCACGCATATTCGATTGATACATACTAGATTTCAAGCCATTGATGAAATATTTAGAAATCGAAAAGGATATTTTTCGTTAAATGTTCAAGTAAATGTTTTAACAATTTTAATATAATTTTAAAGTAACGAAGGAGACAATTGGACATCTTTGGTGTGCTCATTACATTTATATTCCCATATTGTACATAGTTTATATATGTATATATATGTGTATATACTTATAGACTATATATAATATATATTTATATAAACTATATATATTATTAAAAATTTTTTTTAATTAATATTTTATTAAAATTTAGTTAATATATAATATATTTTGCAGGCTGTTGTTGGGCCACGTACTGAGTTTTTAGATATAGTTCCAGAATGGCCAGGAAGTGAACATGATAGTCGTATATTTCAGAATTCACGTATATATATGCGATACAGGCAACGTGAATTAGACGGGATGCTAGTTGGAGATAGTGGTTATCCTTCTTTACCGTTTCTATTAACACCATTTAATAATCCCGCCAGTGATAAAGAAGAAAGGTTTGATATACATCTAATTTAAAATTACAATTCTAGCACTATAATAACATTTGTACAAATACATATAATTGATAATATTTTTTATAGATATAATATGATCCATGGAAAAACACGAAGAATCGTCGAAAGAACCTTTGGAATATGGAAACGTAGATTCCCTTGTTTATCAAGAGGTCTTCAAACAAAATTAATCACATCTACAACAATTGTTATAGCATGCGCTGTTCTTCACAATCTCTCGCTAATATATAATGATATTATGGAAGAAGAAGAAGAAGTAGAAAATATAAATCAAAATGACGAAGTTCCGCCACTTCCACCTCACTGGCAACCAGGGGACGGTTTCCTTGTGCGAAATGCTGTTATTGAACGATTGTTCAGATGAAAAATTCGACTCTAACAAGTTTTATTTTTTTGCGAAATAAATTTGTATTAATATATACACAACATACACACACACGTATGTATATATGTATGTAGATATGTATGTATGACTAATTGACTTTAATTGACTGGCGTATACAAACACTTGGTAATATTTAATTATAATGTATAGCTTTTAATGTACTAAAGAAGTTAAATGTAATGCTACATGAAATAAATAAAATAAAACATGTATAAAGTATAAATACAATTTATTGTATCATTTAAAGCGTAATTTATTTTTGTACATCTTAAACATAATATCACTTTTGAATAAGAAACAGAATATTACATAATATTATATTATTACAATGTTATATCCAAATATATGTTATTGTTGAATCATTTCATCACAGAACATAAACAAAAATTACATTAGTAACATATCAGTAAATAATAATATTTAGAGCAAAATAAACTTAAACAAAGGAAAATAAAAATAAAATAAAACATAATATCTGTACATAGTTGTACTTTTTACGCGCGATTAACCAATGCAGGAAGCACAGCCTTTTGCATAACGCATGATGCATAGTAAGTCCACAACCTTGCTTTAAAAGGGCTTAAGTTATAAGTCGAAAAAGATTAAATGACAATAATTTCTGTCTGTTTTTGCGTAAATTTATGCTTTAACCTTTAGACTTAAACGAATTGAGCAAAACTCAATTCTTATAGTCTAAAAGCAAGGTTGTGAACCGAGTCTTATCGTCACTTACAATTTACAGCTTACGGCTGATGGCCTCTTGAAACAATTTTGTGAACTTAGCCTAAGAAAATAAACGTGCCAGAGTTTTTCATTTTTGTCTCCTAGGTAGAAATGAAGGACACTCTGATTGGTTTATGATCAGGCCCTAATATTCTGACTAAAGGTACAATTTCATGCTGACGCTTGACGCTAAAAATGAGCGTCTAGCGTCAGCATGAAATTGTACCTTAACAGTCTTCTCTTATAACAGTAAAATTTATTTTTTAATGGGTAAATCTATATTTTCCTTATCCAATTCGATACTTCTTAACTCTGATTTCTTTATTTCTATTTCGAAATTTTGTAAAACTTTTAAATGGTTTAATTGCATGTCGTTAAACAATTTTAAATGCTCCTCTTTCATAAGTACTACTTTTTCTTCGTGTTTTAACTTAATGTCTGCTAATGCTTCTTCTTGTCTTATAATGTTATGTAGTCTTTGTATTCGTAATTCCTCTTCTACATTTGATACTTCCAGTAAATCTTTTCTTTTTCGTTTCAAAATATGTGATTTCTTTTTATCATCATTTAAATATATTTTTGGCATATCTAAACTGTTTGATGTCATCAGTTTTTCTTTACAGCCTCCTACAATAGTAAATGTGTTTACAAAACATAAAGAGATGGTATTATAATTATATTTTGTACTTGCCATAGTCAAAGAAATACGCTTTAATTAAGAGATAAATATGTAATACAAATAATATAAAATAATACCTGGCGAAGCAGTAGTACTTTCTACATCACTTATGTTTATCACATGTTCTGTATTAGATAATTCTTCTACACCTTCGTCAGTACATATAAGATCGAACACCAAGTCACGTTTATCTAAAATACATGAAATAATAAAAGTTCATGTTTTCATGTTTATCAAATGCGCATGCAGCTAGACCGAGATGGCTTAGCATTAACATTAACGTATTGCGTTACGACAATGTCTTACTTTCAGCCAGGGCTGGGTAATATTTAAAATAGTTCCATTTTAAATACATATTTAAAATGGAAATGGCATTTTGCATTTTCCATTTAACAGTTAATTCCATTTTCCATTTTTCTAACAGTTAATTTATAAACATACGAGTATAATATACCTTCAATTTCAGTTTCTGTCATATTAGATGAAAATATTACTGGTGCGGTTTTCATCAAATGGGGTGCGATATTGGCAATGTCGGGATCGACTTCTATTTTTGTCTCCTGTGGTCCTCCACCAGTTGCCATAAGTGACTGTTTCTCCTTTGTTAATGCTTCTCGTTGATATTGCTTCAGATTTGCCCATAATTTCTTTAATTGCTGAACAGTTCTCTATTATCAAAATTATTTATAGAACTATTTGATTTCATATAAGATATTACACTAAAATTAAAAAATAGCTAATATGAAAAAAGCTTTTTTAAGAAAAATGAACTACAATCACGATATTTTTAAATATAATTAAAAATATTGCAAATTAAATAATGCAAATAATGAAAAAATGTTAATGCTAATTAGTAAAACAATACTTAACCTTATAGTAAATTTGATTACACACACACACACACACACACACACACACACACACACACACACACACACACGCACGCACG